CCCACCAGAAATTGAGTGGATTATGCACTCACCTAACCCACCAGAAATTGAGTTAAACAAATCTCTTACCTTTGCAAAGTTGAGTCCATCATCTCCCTATAAATACCCATTGCAGCATCCTCATTGAGGAGAGGAGTGAATCCCCCCTTCACTATAACTCACTTATATCCATCCACCACCACCACAGTTCACCACTCAACCTTCACCCAACCCTTGTGTCGTAACAAAGAGAAGAATGAGGACCCTTGGAGTGCTTGCTATTCAAGTTTGGATTGCTGGATCATTCTTAGTGTAATCTATCTTTTGATTTCAATGTTTAAGTTTGTTTATCTTTGTTTTGTGAACTTGAGAAGCTAAACCCCTTTTAGCTAGGGGGAATTTCGAAACCATGAACATATTTGCGTTACGAATTGATTAATTCCAGTTGTGATTTCATAAAGTGTGAATGCAATTTGCTTAACTGTTTTATTCAAAACTTATTCTTGTATGTTGATTAAGGAGGTCTACTTAGTTTGCATGCTTGAATCTGATGCTCGAATCTAAGGGAGTTTCACATAATCGTTACAAACTTATATTCACAAGTAGTGAAGGTTGCTGGTCACGATCGCGTTAAGTTAAATTCCTAGCATGAGTATCATGATATCATAGTTAGGAATGCTTTGTCAATGCTTATGATTTTGAAACTCCCTTATATTTGATCATCAGATTCAAGCATGCAAACTAAGTAGGCCTCCTTAATCAACATACAAGGAGAAGTTTTGAATAAAACAGTTAAGCAAATTGCATTCACACTTTATGAAATCACAACTGGAATTAATCAATTCATAACGCAAATATGTTCATGGTTTCGAAATTCCCCCTAGCTAAAAGGGGTTTAGCTCCTCATTTTCACAAAACAAAGATAAAAATTCCCCCTAGCTAAAAGGGGTTTAGCTCCTCATTTTCACAAAACAAAGATAAACAAACTTAAACATTGAAATCAAAAGATAGATTACACCTAATAATGATCCAGCAATCCAAACTTGAATAGCAAGCACTCCAAGGGTCCTCATTCTTCTCTTTGTTGCGGCACAAGGGTTGGGTGAAGGTTGAGTGGTGAACTGTGGTGGTGGTGGATGGATATAAGTGAGTTATAGTGAAGGGGGGATTCACTCCTCTCCTCAATGAGGAGTAACATGCCTTAGAGAATTCACTCAATTCCTTATCGGATATGCACTCTACTTTGACACAGATTTTTTGACTACACACCCTACACTAGGTATATGTGAGAAGATTGATGTAAACATGTAGACTAGCACTCACATATAATTATAACAAAGAAGGCACTTTCTGGAATTATTAATACATATGCATAAATATGATCTCATGAATGGAATGCTACTACTTAGACGCGAGAACCAGGCACACCATATGCTCATACCAATCCCAAACTCCACATATTGAAACACTTAACACTCAAGATAGAAGTTAAGGGTTGTAACAGGGATTAGGGTATTGGCTAACAAAGAAAGGTAAGGATAAACAAACGTTCTTAAAGCGATAGTACGCAAAGTAATGAAATTGATACTTAGAATTCACTTTTGCATGCAAAAATCAACATTAAACACAAAGGGAAAGATTCACACATCTTTTAGGGCCAGATTCAAACTTTTGGACACTTTCTTCAACAATCAACACTTGAGATTTCCTTTCTAAATATTTTTTTTCTCGTGCCTTATTTCTTTTCTTGGCACACAACACACAAAAATCCCTTCCCCACACTTATTTTTCTGCATAAGGACAATAAAAAAGAATTCCTTTTAAGTCATGCTTCACTATGCCTGAAGAACAAGGGTATGGATAGTCCTATTCTAGGCTAGGTAGGGAAAATGTGGCTAATAAAGAAAATAGGCTAAACATGGCTCAACGGGGTTTAAACCTACAAAACATAATGCAAAGGGTAAGGCTTTTGGGTTTTGGTTTTAGCTAACAACTTCATCTTTTTTATGTGTTATGCAATTCAATGTCATGCTTTGAATGAGAAGGGTATGAGTTCTAGTATTTGGAACTATAGTGATGAAACGCATTCTAAGTAGCAACCAAGCAAAGAATAAAGAGATCATGCAACAACTTTAGAAAACAAGAAATCACAGATTAATAACTCTCCAAATAAGGCATAGGCTCAAGTGTCTCAGGGTTGTAGCGTTAGTTTGAGTTCCTTCCTTCAAGCATGTTACAAAAATTGATTTTTTTTCTGTGATTACATGTGAATTCGTAAACGACAAATACAACTAAGCATAAACCAAAGTGCATATCAAACTTCCATCCATGTTTGTAACTTTCTTTAACAGTCATGTAATTAAAAACCAAATCCTTATAATTGTGTTGGAAGGTACCCTAAGACACAAACAAACACACAAAAACAACTCTTTTTGGGTTTTTCTAAACATTTTTTTTTCAAATTTTCGTATTTTTCTTTCAAAATACATTAAAACACTTCAAAACATACTAAAAACATTTCAAAACAGTGAGTAACAGCTTAGCTTCATGTGGTAGATGATCTTTGGCTTCGGTAGTGAATGAATCAGCACGTATTTTGTCATGCTTATTGACTTTCCATAGCTTTGATCTTGAACTGGATTGGAGTTCTGAGCAAGGAAGAGGAGAATTCTTTGGTGGTGGTGATTTGATGGCATTGTACGGCGAGGCTTTGCTCTTTGGCGACGGTGTCGTCAAAATGTTGTTGAAGCTTCTCGAGCTATTGGATTCAACTCAGACTCCCTCTGCTGGGTTATATGATTATGCAGGGAAGGGTGTCATGCTATAGTGATCTGTTACAGCTCACCCTGCTACATTCCTCTTTGCTTGTTTCTCCTGTACGGCATGCAGGCACAAGGTAAAGGTGATGATCTGTTTCTTTGTTCAATCTTTCCAAGTGCCGACCGATTGCTTTCTTTCTCCTTGTCCCGTAGGCAAGAGCAAGGGTAAAGGAAAAGCAAGCCAAGAGATATCTTTGCCTTCGACTATGATGATATGAGGTACTTTTGCTTTTAAAGAAGTATTTTTCCACCGGTTTATTCTTAAATTGGGTTGGGAGCTTTTTAGCAAGGAAGAGAAGACTTAATCTTGAAAGAAATCGGACCATGAGCAGTCTCACATGGCAAGTGATCCTCAGCTTAGTTGATGATGAATTAGCACGTTGTCTCCACATGCTTCAAGGTATCATTTTCACTTGCCTTATTTGTTCTCCAAGCAGATGTGGCATCTTCTTTGGAAGTACATCAGCAGTTGAAGATGAATACTCGAGAGCAATGCTAGGTAAGCAATTAGGAAGGGGTTCCAGGAAGTCGGTTCCAGATCGGAAGATTGATACCAAGTGCTGGCTGATTGCTCTCTTTCTCCTTGTCCCACAGGTGAGAACAAAGACAAGGAAAAGGACAGGGAGAAAGCATGATATGAGATACACTTGCTTTCAACCTTCATGATATGAAATACTTTTGCTCTTAATGACTTGTTTGAAGAGGTACTCCAGGGGATGAGGAACACTGAGTAACTTGAAAGGCTTCGTTGCGAATGCATTCTCGGAGATGAAGAAAGGTTGAGTAAGTTTGCCTTGCTATGGAAGACGAAGGTTGATATTTATAGGAATTTCTTCATAACCGGTAGAGGTATTATTCTTTTACTCTTGTCGGCAACCGTTGGGTGATTGAACAGTAAGGTTCATGCACTTTTAACTTTATATAAATCTTTGACAAAGTTGCCCGTAATTTCCGCAAAGCTGAGGTTGCGTGTGAAAGGTGCTGATAAGTCTAGAAAAGTTGATCTTTTGAAATTTGGATATCGGCCCGTGGTTTCTGAGCAGGCTTGGCTTTTTAGAAAACATCACCCCTTCGATTTTTGAGGAGGCGCCTCTTCGATTTCTGAGCAGACGTTGCTTCGATTTCTGATTTTTATAGAGGCACGCATTACGTTCCAAAGCACACTTGAATTATCGTCTGTAGAAGCTTTCTTCTTGCACTTCTGAGATCTTGATTTGTCCGGCCTCTTCTTTTTCTTCAACACATTCGGAAATGTCTTGCCCATCTGATCGTCGTCTTAACTTGAATGTTGGGGAAGATATTGACATGTCTTCTCCAGACAACATTTGGCATCCATCATTCTTATCCCCAGTGGTATTCTTACAGTTGGGGACTCTGTGATAAAGAACGATATAACCGCTACGGTGGTTGCTAGAAATCTTCTCACTCTAAGAGACAGTAGGATGCTTTCCAAATGGTCCGACAAGTTGGCTGTTCAGGACTCTCTGGCGTTCAGTGTCCAATGTGCAGGCTCAGTATCAAACATGGGCCAACGTCTTCTTGCTCGATCTCGTCAGGTTGAGTTTTTGATGGCTGAGGTGGCTAGTCTTCGGCAAGAGATCAGAGGGCTCAAGCACGAGAATAAAGAGTTGCACATGCTCGCAACTAGTTACTCAAGGAGTATGAAGAGAAAGCTTGACTAGTTGCAGGAGTCCAAAGTTCAGATTCAGAGTGATCATCAAAGGTTTGTGGCGTTACTCCAGAGGCAACTTTTGCCTTCGCCATCTGGATTTTCACCAAGTGTTGAGGCTTCGGAAAATCAAACTTTGGCGCTTTGTCTTTTTGGAGCTCCGTCGAGTGTTGAGGCACCACCTGACCAATGAAGGCTCATTCCTATTTGTTTGCACATGCTTGTAATAATTTTTTTTTTACTTATTTTCTTTTCTACCCAATGTTCCTTTCCGACGAAAATCAATGTAAAAACAACTTGTTTACCCCCCACACTTAAACCAAACATTGTCCTCAATGTTTCAAATATAGATTCACACATAAGCAAACAAGCAACTAATGAACTAAGCATGGCAAGATCAATGCAGTAAAGAGAAGGGTTTAGGAACGTAAATCTGATTGTGGAGCGATTCTTAGGTTTTGTTTATTTGAATACATGGGTTGCCTCCCAAGAAGCGCTTGCTTTGACGTCTTCCAGCCGGATGAATCATTCATTTAAGCTTCATTGGAGCCCACGACATGGAGGTGTATTTCCTCCACAACCTGCCCCACCACATTCTCATAATATGGCTTTAAACGATGCCCATTCACCTTGAATTCTCGGCCGTCCCTTAAGCTTTGAATTTGAACTGCACCATACGAAAAAAATATGAGTAATAACAAAAGGTCCAATCCATTTAGAACGTAACTTACCGGGAAATAAACGTAGGTGGGAGTTGAAAAGCAACACTTTCTGCCCTATTGAGAATGTCTTGCTACGAATCATCTTGTCATGGAATGCCTTTGTCTTCTCCTTGTAAATGCAAGCATTCTCATATGCCTCATTCCTGATTTCTTCAAGTTCATTCAATTGGAGCTTCCTATGGATTCCAGCCGCATCTAGGTCCAAATTGAATGTCTTGACAGCCCAATGTGCCTTGTGCTCTAACTCTACAAGGAAATGGCATGGTTTCCCATAGATTAGCCGAAATGGAGACATCCCAAGTTGTGTTTTGTAGGCTGTACAATGTGCCCATAGTGCATCATCCAAATGCATACTCCAATCTTTTCGGGTTGGCCCAACGATCTTCTCCAAAATCTGCTTGATCTCTCGGTTGGAAACCTCGGCTTGCCCATTTGTTTGAGGATGGTAAGGTGTCGAAACCTTATGCTTGACATTGTACTTCTTAAACAGTGCCGCAATGGTCCAATTGTAAAAATGGGAACCTCCATCACTTATGATCACCCTCGGCATCCCAAATCTGGAGAATATGTTAGTTTTGAAGAAATCTGCAACCACTCTAGAATCATTAATACGGGTGGCTTTTGTTTCCACCCATTTCGACACATAATCAACTGCAAGTAAAATATAAATGAAGACATAAGATGAAGGAAAATGACCCATGACATCAATGCGCCAAACATAAAAAATTTTGACATTGAAGATAGGGATCTGCGGCATTTTGTCTTTTTCACCTATATTTCTTGTTCTTTGACAACGATCACAAGTTATGCAAAAAGTTCTAGCATCCTTAAACAAATTAGGCCAATAAAATCCACATTCTAAAACCTTACGTGCTGTCCTTTGGGTGCCAAAATGACCCCCACATGCATAAGTGTGACAAAAAGTTAAAATTGAATGAAATTCGGATTCATGCACACACCTACATATAATCTAATCAGGGCAATATTTCCACAAATATGGGTCATCCCATACATAAAACAGTGCATCCTTTTTAAGTTTATCACGTTGGTGCTTATTTAGAGTGCTTGGAACTTGTTTGGCCACTAAATAATTAACTAAATCTACATACTATGGCTCACTTACCTCAATGGATGGCAATTACTCATCTGGGAACATTTTTGGAATAGGTAGTGACTCCTCATTGTGCACCAAACGGCTTAAGTGGTCAGCCATCATGTTTTCACTCCCTTTCTTATCCCTAATTTCAATGTCAAACTCTTGGAGTAGGTGTATCCAACGAATCAGCCTTGGCTTGGCTTCCTTCTTTGTGAGTAAGTACTTCAACGCTGCATGGTCAAAATAAATAATGACTTTAATTCCAATTAAATGAGAATGAAACTTATCTAAAACTAATACAACAGCAAGAAGTTATTTTTCAGTGGTGGAATAGTTCAACTGAGCATCATTCAAGGTGCGAGATGCATAATAGATGATGTGGGGTTGCTTGTTCTTCATTTGGCCTAAAACAGCTCCAATTGCATAATCTAAGGCATCACACATGAGCTCAAAAGGAAGGCTCCAATCTGGTGGAGTTATGATAGAAGCCGAAGTAAGCATCTCCTTGAGGTGTTTGAAGGCCTTCTCACACTCTTCCTTGAACTCAAATGGCACTTCTTTTGAAGGAGACAGCAAAGGGGCTGTGCAACCTTGGAAAAGTCCTTAATGAATCGCCTATAGAATCCTGCATGTCCAAGAAAATAACGAACCTTTCTAACCAAAGTAGGGGAGGGTAAGTAGCGTACAAGATCTATTTTCGACTTATCAACCTTAATTCCCTTTTCTGAGATTATGTGACCCAAAACTATACCTTGTTTTGCCATAAAATGACACTTTTCCCAATTCAAAACAATGTTAGTTTCAATGTAGCGTTTTAAGATCAAAGTGAGATTAGATAAGCATTCATCAAACGAATCACCAAAAACACTAAAATCATCCATGAATACTTCAATGATCTTTTCCACATAATCTGATAAAATACTCATCATGCATCTTTGAAATGTGGCAGGTGCATTGCATAAACCAAAAGGCATTCTACGATAAGCAAATGTACCAAATGGGCATGTGAAAGTGGTCTTTTCTTGGTCATCCGGAGTTATGAGAATCTGATTATAACCTGAATAACCATCAAGAAAACAATAAAATGTATGACTAGCTAACCTTTCAAGCATTTGATCAATGAATGGCAGAGGGAAGTGATCCTTCCTTGTCATGGCGTTGAGCTTTCTATAATCAATTTAAACTCTCCAACCTATTTGGATACGGGTAGGCACAAGTTCATTCTCTTCATTCTTCACCACAGTAACTCTGGATTTCTTTGGAACAACTTGGACCGGCGAAACCCAACAACTATCAGAAATTGGATAGATCACCCTACAATCAAGTAGCTTGATAATCTCCTTCTTCACAATTTCCATCCTTGGAGGGTTGAGATGGCCTCGAGATGGTTTAGCTCGCTCCTCCAAAAGTATACGATGCATGCAAGTGGTAGGGCTTATTCACTTGATGTCGGCCAAGGTCCATCCAATGGCTGTTTTGTATTCCTTCAACGTCCTCACCAATTTCTCTTCTTCTTATGCCGTGAGTAAGGAAGAGACTATGACGGGCAAAGTCTCTTGGTCACCCAGGAAAACATACTTCAAATGGCTTGGTAAAGGTTTAAGTTCAAGGGAAGGTGCCTGAATCACTGAGGGAAGCATTTTATTAGTAGAAACGGAATCTGAAATTTGGATTAGAAGCTTACCATATTGTGGTGGCAATGACTCAAGGGCAGCAACTATTTCAATTACTTCTTCACTAGGGTGCACGGCATGGGTTGTTTCATGCATGTCGTGGGTATGCTTAGATTTTATCCCTTAGTTTTTGAGTCCCACTCCATTCGTAATGACCGTTTCAAGCGCATCTTTATGTAATTGCTCAAGATGTTCCTACGCCAAAAAATCAATAATATCAATAGAGAAACAAGAATGGTCGTCATTAAGATATCTCATAGCTTCAGAAATATTGAAATCAATAACTTCCCTATCAAATTCCATTGACAGTGTCCCTTTGAACACATCGATCTTAGTGCGAGCTGTTTTTATGAATGGTCGCCCAAGTAAGATTGGCAATGGTGTAGCATGGGCCGAATCCTCTATCTCTAACATATAGAAGTCAGCTGGGAATACCAAGTGATTAACCTGCACTAAAACATCCTCCAAAACTCCCTTTAGATAAGCATTAGAGTGATCTGCCAATTGAATAATCACTCCATCATGTTTCAGTTCACCTAAGTTCATAGATACATAAATTGAATATGGCATGACATTAATTGATGCACCTAAGTTTAACATGGCACGTTCAAACCTAGTATTACCAATGACACAAGGAATTGTAAAACTACAAGGATCTTTGCATTTGGTTGGTAGTTTTCGTTGCAAAATGGCTGAAATGTTTTCACTTACCTTTACAACTTCTTTGTTGGAAATCCTCTTCCTTGTTGTACAAAGTTCTTTTAAAAACTTAGCATACCTCGGAACTTGTTTAATTGCATCAAGGAGAGGGATATTCAGTTGCACCTTTCTAAACGTCTCCATAATGTCCTTTTCACTCTCTTCCTTCTTTGATTGCATGAATCTACAAGGGAAAGGAACATGGGGTGGAATGGGGTTAGAATTAATCGAAATTAAACCCTTCTTACCTGTGTTGGACGAATTGGACAGATTAGGGAGTGTAGGAGGATGCGGCAAGGATTACTGAATCCTTGCCATGGGGTTGTCTTGCTCTTCCTCTTCGAATTGCAGTTTCTTATCCTCATTTTGGGAAGATTTAGATGGTTGTGGATCAACTCCAACTTCTTTTCCACTTCTTAATGTAATGGCCTTGGCAGATTCAAACCCTCCCTTCGGATTCATAGTGGTTGAACTCGGCAATCTGCTTTGCTCTCTAAATTGGCCCATGAATTCCGCCATTTGCCCCATTTGTTTCTTTAGTTCGTTCACTTCTTTGGCTTGGTTTTGTTGCCCTTGCGCCAAAGTGGTTAGTAATTGAATAACTTGATCATTATCCATGGACGAACCTGAATTGGTCTGGGTAGGTTGTGGTTAAGCTTGAATTGGTGCATATGGTCTTTGATATATCCTAGGGGGTGGCTGTCGAAAACCGCCTTGTTGTTGAGGTTGTTGAGGCTCCCTCCACCTGAAATTTGGGTGATCTCTCCATCCTAGATTGTATGTATTTGAGTATGGATCATTCCTTTACTGATTTTGGCCTTGAACCCAATAGCGTTGGCACTTTCCCATCCTCCATTCTCAATCAATTGAGGGCATTTTTCAGATTGGTGCCCTTGGATAGAGCACACGCCGCAAATTGAATTTTCTTGCACTTTGGGTCTTTCAACAACTTGTGACACAAGAAGAGTGAGATTAGCCAATTGGGATTGAATTTCAAAAATTGTACTTACCTCATTCACATGTTGCTGCCGTGGGATGTCTCTCTATCCAATGCCTTCATATTGTTGTGCATTCAAGGCTCGGTTCGCAATTAAGATCTTTGCAGCCACTGGTGTTTTGTCAACCAAAGCACCTCCCACCGAGGCATCTAGCATTTGTCTCTCTATTGGAAGGAGTCATTCGTAAGATAATTGAATGAGAAGTTCTTCCCTCATTTGGTGTTGTGGGCAAGATGCAACTAAGGCCTTAAAACGCTCATAATACGCCGGAAAGGATTCTCCTTGGTTTTGTTGAATGCCACTGATTTTCGTCCTCAAAAGAATCATTTGTGATGTTAGGAAGAATTTCTCTAAGAATGCCCGCTTCATGCTTTCCCAAGAAGTGACGGTTCCGGGTGCCAATTCGTATAGGCAATCCTTAGCCTTTTCCAAAAGAGAGAATGGAAAGGCTTTCATCTTTAGAATGTTCCTATCGACATTAGTAGGTGTCATGCTCGAACACACCACTTCAAACTCCTTCAGATGTTTGTTTGGATCTTCCATGGACAACCCATGGTATTTGGGAATATGATGCAGTAGGCTAGATTTCAATTCGAACTCATCGGTTTTGCCTGCAGCTGCCCTCAGGTATTGGATGCAAAGAGGCACGACATTGTCCAATCCTGAGGCTGAAAGTTCTTTGATTGTTTGATTGTCCACCGCCATGTCTTTTTCTACCTCCTTCTCTTCTTCAAATTCAGATTCAGAACTAGGTGGACTAGGGTCTGGTACTTTCCTTTTCCTTCTCAAAGTTCGTTCAAAATCATTGTCAAACTCCAATATGTGTGCATGAATTGGTTGAGAACTACGAGTCATAAACTAGTACCTAAAACAAACAAAACAAACAAAGAAAAGGAGATTAGCACTTTTGCTAATCCCCGGCAACGGCGCCAAAATTTGATGCGAAAATTAACTTAACACACAAATTAAACCCTCTTGTTGACAATTGTAGTATAGATAAGTAGGGATCGTTCTAAACCGGGGATTAGGAGGGATTGCTAATCTACTCTAAATTGACTCAAAAACTCAAAAGCAAACCTAAAAACACTTAACTAGACTCTAATGACTCGAACCAAACTTAAAAGACTCAAAACAGCTTAAAATAACTAAATAGACTCAAACTAGACACTAGGAATGACTTTGGACGAAAATTGATTTTAGCTTGACTCAAAACACGTAAAAACACAAACTAAGACATATTCTAACTAATTTGACACACTTTAGTAAAGGGGATTGGGTTTTGGACGAAATTAAAGTGAAAACAAGTGAATTAAAGACTTCAACAAAGTTGGACGAATTTGGTGAATTAAATGGATGATGGGCTAGCTAGAAGGTCATTCTCCACATATGACACACTTGCATACAAATCAATCTCCAGTTGCTTTTTCAATAAACCATGAATGACAATGCCCCAGATTAACCGTGCCATCACTAATTAACCCTCAGATTTTCCTTAAGTCATTGAATTGGATGGGATACGCATCATCAACCCAAATCATTCTTCAATAGTCCCCTACATGCACATCATAATAGAGATACAATCAAAGATCATTAAGCTCTATGAAAATCATAAGCATTGACAAAGCATTTGTAACTATGACATACAAGAAGAAGTAGACCTCCTTAATCAACATACAAGAATAAGTTTTGAATAAAACAGTTAAGCAAATTGCATTCACACTTTATGAAATCACAACTGGAATTAATCAATTCGTAACGCAAATATGTTCATGGTTTCGAAATTCCCCCTAGCTAAAAGGGGTTTAGCTCCTCATGTTCACAAAAAAAAGATAAACAAACTTAAACATTGAAATCAAAAGATAGATTACACCTAAGAATGATCCAGCAATCCAAACTTGAATAGCAAGCACTCCAAGGGTCCTTCTTCTTCTCTTTGTTGCGGCACAAGGGTTGGGTGAAGGTTGAGTGGTGAATTGTGGTGGTGGATGGATATAGGTGAGTTATAGTGAAGGGGGGATTCTCTCCTCTCCTTAATGAGGATGCTGTAATGGGTATTTATAGGGAGAGGATGGACTCAACTTTGCAAAGGTAAGAGATTTGTTTAACTCAATTTCTGGTGGGTTAGGTGAGTGCACAATCCACTCAATTTCTGGTGGGTTAGGTGAGTGCACAATCCATTCTTGCAACTTGCATTTGTTTCTCCAGATTTGTTTCCTAGCCTCTTTTGACTTCAAATTTGTCCATTCATCTTGCTTCATGCATAAGCTATCCAATCTTGGCCAAAAACTGCTCCTAAATGCTCCAAATTACACTTTTTTTGCCAACTTTGTCATTTGAACCTACAAACACACGAAAATAACTTAAATCACTATAATAAGTAGAAACTAACTAAATAAATGTCAAGAAACAAGCTAACTAAGTCGCATAAATATGCTCCTATCAAAAGGCCTACGGATTTTAGATAACTAATTTCTAAACTTCAAACTTCGTAACTAGTTTAATTAAAATCTAAGTTCAAATAAATTAATATAAATTCCCGAAAAATAATATAAAATCTCAATAATACAAATACATAGAATATAATAGTTAAATCTAGGAACGGGATTTCACAAAATCCAATGGCTGAGATGAAATATGATAAAATCCAACAATTAAAAAAAGATCTAATGATCCAAAGTTAAATCCAATGGTCCAAGATTAAATCCAGCGGCTAAAACAATTAAAAAATATTTAAATGAAAATTCACCCAAAAACTCTATAAATACATGTTTGATGGGTCGGTTTGGTGAATTTTCAAATTTCTCGGAATCTAAGTATTTTTAGGTGAAAATGTTCATAAAAATAAATTATGATAATCTACATAAATTTTATTTTAAAAAGTTACCTAAATAATATTTTAGCATAAATTCATTCTTTAATAATCTCGAGCTAAAATTTTAACCCAGAATCATTGGAGCAAAAACAAACTATTTTTGAGTTAAAACCTAAATTTTCAAGGTTGAAAATTTTAGGTTTTAACCAAAGGGCTGGAGATGGTCATAAAGAGTATGTCGATAAAATATGTACAAGGTGATAGAACATAAAAAATAAGTGAACTTATAAAAAAAAACGTTACTACGACTTTCAAACCGAAATTAAGGGAAAAAGAAGCCACCATTACAGGGAAAAAAAAAAAGAATAAAAATGTAATCACTTAATAGAACTATCCTCACTCAAGATGGCTTTTACCATGTCCAAAACAATGAGGAATATGACCATCTTTGCTCTGATATTTATTACATAAAACATTATGGCTGCAAACTCGGCCAGACAAACTCATATCATCCATATAGCACATATTTTTGCTTCTTTCCAAAACGTTGGACAACAAGGATTCAATTTCTTTTGTGGTCCCAGACC